ATTCATTTGAAGATTTTAATTTATATTAGTCAAAGTAATTTGAATTATCTTTAAACGTTTCAAATATTTATAAATTCGTTATATTATTTTACAAATATTTCTTCTATTCTACACCTATGCAATATAATTTAGAATGATTATAAATTCTTCGAAAAATTCTCTACAATGAAAATAAAGATAAAAATTTTAATTAAAAATTTCCTTTTATTCGCTTCTATAAAAATTTTTTAAATATCAATTATTATATTAATTCTATTGTATTTAATATTGATTATATAAAAATATAAAATAAAAGACAGAATAGTATTTATATACATAACAATTGAAAATGCATATTTATACAAATCTATTCGAATAAATTAAAATTTACTATAAATAGTCAATATTCATTTCAACGCGGATTAATTTGACAATAAAATTTTCACGAAACTCTAAAAATAGTTAATATATTAAAATATACTAGAACAAAAAGAAAATTTTAAAGCATTATTTTAATAATTATAGATTAGCTGAAAAGAAGATCATGTATTTGTATAAGTACATACATTTATCAAAAAAAAATTAAACTGATATATTAAGCTTACTATGATAAATCATATATTTAGATTTTTTGCCGATCATCATTTATATAGTAACTTCAAATCCCTAAAACTTCTGAACCAGTGCATCTATAATGATAAAATTATAATTTTTGGATTCCTTGTTAAATGCTTTACAACAATATAGAGCCATTTTTTTAATTATTGCTTATTTTTTCTTAATTTTAGCTATTAAACATAATAAAGCTAAAAAAATGGCTCTATATTGTTGTAGAGCATCTAATGAGGAATCCAAAAATTATAATTTTATTTTTATAGACGCACTGGTTCAGAAGTTTTAGGGATTTGAAGTTATATACTATATAAATGATGATCGGCAATATACAATTTATCATAGTAAGCTTAATTAGATTTGTAAATCCTATGATATCGCATACCCCAGTGCGATATATAAAATTTTTAAATTTTTAATTTATGTAAAGGTAAAAATATATTCCGAATTGTAAGAAATATAATACGATCTAACCTTTTCTGTTGCATTATTTATGATCGATATATTTATAATATATTTGTGAAACAAACTATATATATATTTAATTAATAGACCCGACTATTTAATCAATTTGATCCAATCAAATCTTTGGTCGACCAATGGACCAGCACATGTGGCCAAAACTATTTCGGCTTAAGCCGTAAGGGTAAATAGTTGTAATCCCTGATTATGAAGTATAATACTATAGTTCATCTCCCATGTATATTTTAAGATCACAACTATAATTATTTTGCTGTCAATAGCGATGGAATAATTGGTACACGAACATAAATTTAAGAGAACGTCATTAGCTTAAAATTTTGCGACCGCTGAAAGATAAAAAACTCCGTTGAATTAGTTTGTCATGTGGATTGTGATGAATTTGCGAGACAAATTTATCAGGGAAAAGGAACCAAGGTAAGCCCGACAGGCGCATAATTAACCCGAGAGTAGGTTCACTCTGTTCCCCAATTATAGGATTTCGCAGAATACGAAACGCCCAACAGTCTAGAGCATATATAATTGTAAGTACATTATATGCGAGTCTATACTTGCATGGTCGCAGATCAATCTTATCGTGTTAGGAAAGTTGCACGACTTAACAACTGTAATTGTAAACTTTGAATAGGAGCAAATTTATTTCCCCTAGATTGGTACTACAAAGTATTGATTACTAGATACGTATATCGTTATAGCGCGCGCTTTCAATAGCGTCTTTAAATGGAAGGTGGCTTAAGAAAACATGTTATTTTCTGGAAAGAAAGAAGTGGTTTCCTGGTAATTTATATGATCACAAGATTTTACTTCCAAAAACAATTTACAAAAATCAATCAAATTTTAAATCATGCAGAATCGAGAATTTTAATGATGTCATTCATGCGCGTTGTTATTCTAATAATAAAAGACGCGAAATAATGATCGATACGAACAGTGAATAATAACATTTATCATGAGCAATCAACGCGTTTTGAAATTATATAACGAGCGCAGCATGTACGTATCCAGGTTGTAACGGTAACTATTTATAAGTCTCAAAAAGGGTATCTTTTTGCCAACGGCTAAAAAAACAGCCTAAAAAAATCATGCGATGATCAAATCCAACACAAAGAGACGAACAAAGTAGGACTTAGTACAATTGAAGTCAATCAGATGCGAATTTGTAAAATAGGTTTTCTATTTGCATGGGGCTTAGGTTCAGTAAATCCGGATTGGTGTTTTTCCGGCCTCATACAGATTTAATTTCGGTTGTGGTGTAGTACGATATATATATATATATATATTCATTATTTCATTGTTCAACATGTTCCCAGGGGGAAATTGATAGAACGTTTACACAACTTCATCTCCCTGTTATTATTTGTTTTTTATTTGTTTTTTTATATAAGAATTAATAGTTTGTTTTTTATATACAAAATATAAGATATTCTCATTGTTGAGAAGACTGCATACCTGCATAGATGGCACTGCCTGCTTTCGTATAAATAAACCCACAACCACCCGAATTTTTATCCCTTGGTGTTTCATATTTTACAATCATATACATTTAGGGCTCCAGAACCAATTTTTTGCTTTTCTTTTAGTACCAAATCCTCTCCGTAATCCAAATTTTTATTTTTTTTACATAATGTATAGTCAACATGGAAATACTCCGTCACACCATCAACAAGCCATAGTACCGAGAACCGATTACCACAGCGTTGGGCGTGGCGAATATCCTCCTCCACCCGAAGGATACTATCCTCCACATCATCCTATATATTACGAATATCACCATCCTCCACCACACTTTGCCACATATCTCCCAACTACAATGAATCCAAATGTACCAGTACCACATTCGGATGAATATCAAGACCGTAATTCAAAAAGAACAAAACCGAATAATGCTGATACATCAATTTCTGCAACGACTTTTGAAGTTGATAAAAATAAAATTCCCTCTGCCGCTAAGAATTCAATACCTGTATCGTCAAATCCACGGATAAGGTATAGGAAAGATCGTTTCGGTACCTTTGACGTTCCAGCCGGAGAGGAGGAGGACAAAAGGTACGCCTCTCCGAAAGCATGATAAATTTTCTGTTGTCGCAAAGTTGGATCTTTATACGAATAAATTTGGCATAATTGATCCTTGAGATCATTATACTCGGTGACTTTCTTGGACTATTGCGGTTAATCAACTCACATTAGATTGATTATTTGTCATTCTTCATTGACACAAGATAAAATTACACGATTTTCATATAGAACATATAAGTTGATAGTTTGTCAACAGCCGCTACGTGCTCGTATGTGCGGTTTCGGCGAAAAAGATCGACGTCCAATCGATCCACCGCCGATCGTACAGTTAGTGGTGAATGACGAAAACGGAAATCTGGATTCCAGGTGATTAAATTGATTCATTTATTCGGTTTTCCTTATATTTATATAAAATCTCTATATGATCTTTCGTTGTTTTGATTTTTTCCCTATTAGCACGAGCTTAAGGTTTTTTATAATTCATCAACTTTACTGAATTAGATAAAATTTATCATAATAATAAAATTTCATTCATTGTTGATCTCAGTATGTTACAGAATCCATTTTTCGTCCTTCATGTCACTCTGTGGTCCGAAGATTGTAAAGAGGAACGCAATGTAATTAGTAACCCACCCAAAATCACGCGCGTACTTATGGGTTCCCTTGTTTCATCTCCGGCCATTCTAAAAAATACGGATGGAGAACCGGGCTGTTACTTTTGTTTTCCTGATCTTTCTATACGTACGGAAGGCAAATATACGCTAAAATTTTCATTAATGAAATTAGGAACGTCAGTATACCTTTATTCAATAATTATTTTACCCATGTATATATTATCCTCATGCAATATATATATTTAATAAATCGTTTTTTGAACTTTAGCGAAGACCGTTTGATAGATTCAAGAACGGATATTATTTCCACTGCATTCTCAAACCCGTTTACTGTATATTCGGCTAAGAAATTTCCCGGAATGACCGGTAAGGTTGATTACGGATGTATATGATCACTTTTAATCAATTAAAATTAATTTGAATACTTTGGATAATATATTAGAATCTACAGAGCTTTCGAAAGCCTTTGCAAAACAGGGTTTAAAGATTCCCATTCGAAACGACGTTCGACCAAGAAAAGTCGCTGAGGATTGATATTATGCCAATCGATGTTTTTTCATATAACGAATTTTTTTGAAACATAATGGTTTAACTTACAGTATGAATCTTTTTCTGTATCTTGTAAAATAATTTATTTCTTTAGGGCTTCTATGGAACTTAATTTTTTTTAAGTTAATAAGATTAGGACACTATATGATGATCATACGTCACGGGACGTATTATAAGGGGGAAAGGGATTTTATTTCCTGCTATATTTCCAAATAAACCGTTCGAAATGATAGGACACAAAGTATTGATTAATAATTACGCTGTACAGTTTATTTGGAGATACAAACGACTCGGTCCGGTTCGTATACTAATTGTAATAAAAATTATTAGTTAATAGAGCCGAACGAGCCGATTGATCTCCAGATTTATTTCATGTTCATGTATTAAGATTTTATGCTTACTGATAACATTTCAGTTAATTTGTTATTACCGTTGTTGAATGATCTTCAAGAAGGGATTTACTTATTTGTGCGACCCAAAAAGGATCGACGATCCAGGGTCATGCAAGTCAATTGATCATCAACCAATCAAATCATCAATTTTAAATCGATTTCGGAATGTTCACGATTGGCTTATAATTATATTAATATATTATGGTTAATTTTTTTTTGTAATACTTGATTATAATTGATATATAGTATATATACAAAAATTAGAGAAGTTAAATTAAGCTAGTTTCTTTGGCTTATCAGAATTACTACGTAGTATTTTTAAAAAGTTTTAAACATAATATATTCTAAGAATATATATATAAATATACAGTATATATAATGTTAAGAAATATTGCATCTGTGGTGTTCAACACTAGTTATATGAAAATCTAGATCAAAATAATTTTTATCAATTTTGATTAATATTAGAGTTAGAATTAAGGCTTGAAATATGTATAATTTAGAGTGCCGGTCAAAATCCCGACAAGCACAATCCCGACAGGTCATAATCTTAACAAAAAAATCCCGACAGTCAAAAATCCCGACAATTAAAAATCTTGACAATCGGGTAGAAATCTCAAATATGAGATATGTTTAAAGTGAAGTAGAGTAAACAAAAAATACTATCTTAAAATGTTAAATTAAAACAAGCTAAACATCTCCAAGTTTTTAAATTTTTTTTAAAAATGTTCTATAGAACAGGTGGCCAAACTCAGCAAACTCCACTATTCCGATATTAAAAAATTAATGATTACTAATCATTAGCAAAGCTTATTTCTTATATTGCTTACCTATTTTATAGAATATCCTTTTTTAAATCTATTTATTAAAAAGTTATAGCAGATTAAAGTTATAGCATTTTTATAATTAAATATGAAATTTAGCCACCTTTTATATATATGTAAAAAGGCAAATTTGGCCTTTTTAAACAATTAATTTAATTTGATATATATTAAAAATTTAAAATTTGGCAACTTTATATATATTAAAAATTTAAAATGTGACTACTTTATATATAAATATTAGCTAAATTTTCAAATTAGGTTTTCATATATATAAAAAATAAAATCTGAATTTGGTCATTAAAAATTTTTATTTGCTGCAACTAGGTTGTACATACTGTAGAATAAAAGATCACTAGCAAGACTATCAAAGTGAAAAAAATATAACTTTTATTATAGTAAAATCATAATAAATTTTTGGTATAACCAAGATTATATAAAAAAATAGGGAAAGGTATTTTTATATCTGATTTTGGTTTTTTATATCTTTGATTATAAACATAATATATTAAGTATATAATAGTTGTGGGGTGTGGTGACTTAGTGAAGTGGTCAAGTTGTCGCATCCCCAAGTGGCAGGACAAGAGTTCGAATCCCACTGGCGACGAAATTCGAATTTTACAGAATGTGTTATGGCAGACTATGTGTAAACTGATGGATCATTGGATCTGTTAACTTGGTTGTACCAGGGGTTATTAGGAAGCTGTGGAACTATAGTGTGCTGCATGAGTTACACGAAACCCGAGTGAAACAGCTGTGTAAATCCAGGTATTGAGGCACATGGAAGCCCACTTGGCAAGTCCCGAGTAGAGAGGTAAGACAAATCTTCGATAATATTATGTAAAAGACTATCTAAGGGATCTGGACACTGATTTCACTAATTTGGACGAGGACCGGTGTTTGGCAAGACACTATACCAACCAGGCCGCCGGCCGAGTAACCAGAGGAAAAGGACCCAACCGTGGGGACCAGGAGCAGGTCACAGCCCTTCCGGGCTATCTGAATTGGGAGTTTAGATTGCTGACGGAACTTAGGTACCAGTGATAGTCTGTAAAGTGTGTGCTGAGGTTTGTGTGAACTTTGCAAGAGCAAGGAGTAGGTAACGGTAGCAGAGAAATACTGCAAGTACTTGGTCTCGGCCTAGGTGCAAGTTACCACAAAACCTAGATGATACATGTTTGTGGGACATGGACTGCTCTAGTAGGTTTACCACGAGGATAAATTAATCCTAAGGGGCCTTAGCGGCAGTTCCTCTTTAAGGAGAATATCTGACGGCGCTAAGTTGATCAGAGGGTTTAATTGGGTAACTCAAGTAATAGTGGGTTACAGGTACGACATCTAGCGTAGTACTTAGTAATAGGGAACTATTTAATTAGGCGCTCAAAAGGTGCAGATATGACTAGTATGTACTCTCGTTAATGTAACAAAGTCAGGGGTGGTTCTGTGGCTGCCCTGACATTCGCAACCAAAGTTAATAAATGTGCCAGACCCCCAAGTGATCACCTTAACATTAAAAAAAAAAAAAAAAGTATATTATAGTTGTAGCAAAAATAAAGTGTCATATATTATATTACTTAATTTTTAAGCTGAAATATTAGAATTACTTATCATAATATTGTTATTATAATTTCATAATGATAATTTATAATTTATAAGGGTGTGGAAATACCAAAATCGAAGATAGAAATATCTATTCCCAAAAAATATTATAACTTAAATTATTAACTAATATTAATTATAAAATTTTCTAAAAATCAAAATATAATAGCAAGAAGAATATAAAATTATCAATATAAAATAAATAGTAAAAATTTTAATATAACAAAAAAAAACAAAAAAATAAAATAAAAAATTTTATTTTTTATTTATTTTTTTTTTTATCTTTGCAATATCGTGGAAAGGCAAATTTTTATTAAGTATATTAGTAGTATATTCTTGGTTAATAAGAGTATATTCTAGCCATGTTTGTGCCTTTTAAGCACCTAATTAAGTAGCTACCTATTACTAGGGTCTACATTAGATGCCATACTTATAACTCATTATTATTTGAGCTATCTAATTAAACTCTCTGATTTTCTTCGTCCTGCACTACTACCTTAATTATATCAACCCATAACCTTGTGCTGCTTCATTGAAGACCACCCAGATCAATATATACTATACTATATATGCTTTAATTCTATAAATAATTCAGTAGGGTTTTCATACTTACTAGATTATTCTAAGGGGTATATAGTATATATACCCCTAATCTTTCTATGTTTTACACATCCAACTAGGCTTTTTCAGTAACTTATACCGAGTCTGAAAACAAATACTTGTGAGCTGAGGCTACTACAGTTATCTACTACTGCCTTTATAGAGTTCACCCAGACCTCAATACTTATTTTACAGACTCCCTCTCATACTTTCAGAATCTAAACTCCCAATCCAATGGCCTGGAAGGATGGAATCCTTTCTCTGATTTAGTGTTCCGAGTTGGTAAATATTTTACCAATCGATTAGTTGCCAACTATAGTTGCAACTAATTGATTGTTTACATCACATGATATTATCAGATGATTAGTCAATTAAACCAAAGGAATTAATTCGGATCTGCCTGACTAAATAAAATTTCTTAGAATTATACTAGTTGAATGATTAATCGATTAGTGGTTTAAAATTTCTTCAAATCGA